GATTGCTCAATGGTGGGAAAAACTATTATACTACCTTCCTCCCACACTGGAGGACCTCGCTACAGGGCACAAAATTATCAAGATGCAATGGCTATATGTCGGTGGGCTGGATACCCAGATTTGTTCCTGACTTTTACTTGCAACCCAAAGTGGCCGGAAATAAATGCAATGACGAGACTAATAAACCAAGATCCTGATGGTTGCCGGGTGGACATTATATGCCGAGTCTTCCAAATCAAGTTGTTGCAGCTAATGCGGATTCTTAAAAAGGATAAGCCTTTCGGGACAATAATTGTGTGTAAGATATGACAATCAATAATCTTCAATATTGTCTTACTAAATCACACAAAATGCAATCTCAATGCTTTTAAATTACAATATAGGTATATGTATATGTGCAACCAAAAATATGGAAGATTATCACAGAATGTTAAACATGTGCGCACAAGACTTAACCATAACTCCTACAAAGCTTAACTACTAAGAATTACATCACTTCTTTATGAATACAGGATATCTAGCAACCAATTCACCTAACCAACATGCTAATCACGTCCACATACTAATTTGTTTGCATGTATATATACAATTGAGTTCCAGAAAAGAGGCTTGCCACATGCTCATATACTGCTTTTCCTTCATGAAACACAAAAAAACCCCACAACAGATCATATCGACAGAGTAATATCCGCTGAAATACCATATTACATAGAAGATCCAGATGGGTATAATGCCGTGAAGAACTTCATGATGCACGGACCGTGCGGAGAACAAAATCCCAGTTGCCCATGTATGAAACAAGGCAAGTGCACAAAATATTTTCCAAAGAAATACAATGGCCGAACAAATTTTGATTCGGATGGATTCCCTATTTATATGAGACGGAACACAGGTATTGAAGTCAAGAAAAATGGTGCCAGCTTAGACAACCGATATGTTGTCCCATATAACAGGAACTTGCTTGTCCAGTTTGATGCACATATAAATGTTGAAGTATGCAATTATGCGAGGTCGATCAAGTACCTATTCAAGTATGTTCATAAAGGGTCTGATAGAGCCACAACAATAATAGAATCAACCGGGACACCAATAGAAAATGATGAGATAAAAAAATACCTAGATTGCAGATACATATCAGCCACAGAAGCTTGCTGGAGGATCTATTCATTTGATATACATCACAGGCAACCGGCTGTTGAGCGCTTACCATTTCATTTACAGGGGCAGAACACAATAATATTTGAAGAATCAAGGACAGCTAAAAGCGTACTAAGCAGACCCAATTTAGAAAAAACAAAATTTACAGAATGGTTTGAGGCAAACAAAGAATACCCTGATGCAAGAGAGCTGACATATTCCGATTTTCCAACGCGTTGGGTTTGGAATGTAAGAGACAAAAAGTGGACCAGGAGGAAGAAGGGACACGCAGTTGGCAGAATTTACTTTGAACATCCAGGAAGTGGAGAACGTTTTTACATGCGTATGCTACTAAATTTTGTCAAAGGGTGTACTTCCTTTGAAAGCATCAGAAGAATCAATGGAGTAGATCATAAAACATATAGAGAGGCCTGCTACGCTTTGGGGTTATTAGATGATGACAAAGAGTGGAACGACTGCTTGTCTTAGGCGGCCCAGTGGGCTTCTGGAAACGAGTTGCGACATCTCTTTGTTACTATACTTATGAACTGTCAGGTGTCGGATACACGTAAGCTATGGGAGAATAACTATGGAATATTATCTGAAGATATCACGCATATCCAGCGAAAGAGGTTACAATTCAATGATTTACAACTAAACACAAAGCAGATTGAAGCGTACACACTATTTGAGATTGAAAGCATCCTTCTAAAGATGGGGAGAAGTTTGAAAGATATAGAAGGAATGCCCCTTCCAGATTCAGCATTAATGCGGAATGTAGGGAATCGCCTAATCAATGAAGAGCTAGACTACGACAAAGACAAACTCCAAATACTCCATGATCAATCACTCGCTTTGTTAAATACTTGCCAACGCCCGGCATATGAGGCAATAATAGCGTCAGTTGATAATAAAGAAGGGAAATTATTTTTTATACACGGCCATGGTGGTATGGGTAAGACATTTCTGTGGAATACAATTATTTCGAAGATCAGATCACAATCAAAAATCGTTCTCCCCGTCGCTACTTCGGGTATAGCAGCTTTATTATTACCAAAATGGTAGGACTGCTCATTCGCGCTTTCATATTCCTCTAGACATCACGCCAGAGTCAACATGTGAAATCAAACAAGGCAGTCAATTAGCGAAACTACTTAAAAAGACCTCTTTGATAATCTGGGATGAGGCACCAATGGCAAACAAATTGTGCTTTGAGGCATTGGACAGAACCTTGAGAAATATTCTACGAGATAGGTATGAAAATAGTGCCATGAAACCTTTTGGGGGCATAACTTTCGTATGTGGTGGTGATTTTCGCCAAATACTCTCGGTTATTCCAAAGGGAACAAGAGGTGATATTGTGGATGCCGCGCTGAACTACTCACAGTTGTGGCCCTACTTCTCAATTTATGAATTGACGGAAAATATGAGACTTAGATGTGGAAAAGTCAGGGGTTCTGAAGCACAGAAAATAGCAAGTTTTGATAAATGGCTTTGCAAATTGGAAATGGATCCGTTTATGCAGATAATAAGAAGGACCTCATTTATGTGCCCGCTGATGTATACATTCCAAGATCACACAATCAGATAGAATCTATTGTAGAGGCAGTATATCCGTCCCTGCTACAGAACTATAACGACCCATCCTACTTGAAAAAAAGAGCCATACTCACACCAAAAAATTAAATGGTCCATGAACTGAATGAGAAAATACTGAAGCTGATACCTGGGGAAGGAAGAACTTACTATAGCTCGGACAATGTGTGCAAAGCAAGCGTGAATACTAATGAGGAGGATATATTGTACCCAACAGAATTCCTAAACAACTTACGATTCCCAGGTATCCCAAACCATGACATTCACTTGAAAGTAGGAAGTCCGGTGATGCTGCTTAGAAATCTAAATCAAACTGAAGGCCTATGCAATGGTACAAGATTAATAATAACGCATCTGGGTATTTGGTCTGTTACTGCAAACATAATCTCTGGAAAGAACATCGGTTCAAGAGTCACAATACCAAGAATTATCATGTCACCAAACGATTCAAAGTGGCCGTTCAAGCTCAACAGGCGCCAACTTCCTTTAGCACCCTGTTATGCTATGACCATCAACAATAGCCAGGGGCAGACTCTTCAAAGAGTTGGGTTGTATCTGCCAAAACAAGTATTCACACATGGTCAATTGTATGTCGCAGTATCACGTGTAACAACAAGAGAAGGATTGGCGATTGTCAATGCGGACGAGGACACAGATGACCCTACATACATAAAAAATATTGTTTACAGGGAAATCTTCCAGAATGTCGGCCCAAGAATGGTGCAAATTAAGGAGGTATTTCTTAGAAATAAACCGTTTGGTATGGCGATTATAAATATACACTACACCAAATAATGGCCTAACTAACTTCTCGCAATGACCCATGTGCAGATAAACATCCAAACTAATGAGGATTCGTGATGGAGGTGGAATGCAAATGCAACACTTGTGTGCAGGCCTAACTAATACAAGAGAGACCAAATGCAGCTGCCTATGGAATTTAATAGTACAGATTACATTCCTGATGAGGGCGCCTATGATAGACGACCTTCACGGAAAGTGCTGATTTGAAAAGCTCAAAACAAGAAATGAATGTCCTGCTTACTATTTCTACTTGCAGAACAAATATGAGTCCTCTTTTACAAACTTAATATTGAATGATTCATGTACTGTCACAAATATGTAACATTTAACTATACACAATGCATACGTATGGGCCTTATTACATAGACAGCCATCATATATACCTTTGTATATAATGCGAATAGTTTATACACATGTACGCAGAGCCACCAACAAACAATATGTAGCAACTTTGGGGCTACGAAAATTACATGGGGTGAAAAATAATAGTGATGTCGGTGTAAGATTGGAGCATTGCGCAGAATAGTCAACTGTATTGATCAGGTTGAAAAATGATGTTCGTACAAATATGTGACGACTAAATATAAAGACCACCAAGAAACCTCAAACGTTAAAGTGCATTAATAAATTGAATGTTTGACAACGAAACATGGAATCACATTACAACAGTTAAACAAGTAAAATAATGCCAGTCTACGACACTTCCAAAAATTCACCGCATCTTCATTTACGCTTCTTCACCATATTATATAGTCAAATAAAGCCCAACTCAGACCCGCGCGAAGCGCGGGTGGATTCCCTAGTTAATTATATATTTACAATTTTTGAGATATATGATAATGTCAAATCATTTAATTTTTGTAGAAAAGTTCTAAAAACCTACAATTTTTTTTAATTTTTTTTCTTATAACAATCTATTATTGGAAAGGTTGTTTAAAAGATTACTTATGCATAAATTACCTAGTTAAAGATAATTTTATATTCAAAATTTGAGAACAAGATCTTCAAATTAATCAAGAGCACTAAAACAAATCCAAATGATATACCGATAAAAATGTTATTGATCTATTTCAATATTATACCATAACCATATACTTTGTTCTTTCACATCTCAATTTTATTAACTCGCTAAGTAGAGATCGATTTAGAATTTAATCTTATTCAAGTTCAAAATTGATATATTTAGATGCAAATTTAAAGCTCCAAAAATGCAAAAATGGTGTAAAGTAAAAAACAGCTAGAAATTCAAAATCAGAGAGAAGAAGAAGATGATTCCACATTCCGAAAGATTTCATTGATAAGAAAATTGAGTCAATTACATCAAAGATTCACCATTTTTAACCACCGAAACCATAAAGAGTTCTTCCTTGTCTCTTCAAAGCATAAACAACATCCATAGCAGTAACAGTTTTTCTCCGAGCATGTTCAGTGTAAGTAACCGAATCACGAATCACATTCTCCAAAAAGATCTTCAAAACACCTCTTGTTTCTTCATAGATCAGCCCACTGATTCTCTTCACTCCACCTCTTCTCGCTAACCTCCGAATCGCCGGCTTAGTGATTCCTTGAATGTTGTCACGGAGAACTTTCCGGTGACGTTTTGCTCCGCCCTTTCCTAAACCCTTGCCTCCCTTTCCACGGCCAGACATTTTTTTTTTGAAGAATGGATTGATTTGAGAAGTAATGGTGAAGAGAAAATGGAGGGGCGAGAGTTTGTTTATATAGTGGAAATTTTGGAGGGATTTTTTAATTTTTGGGTGGAAAATTTTGGCGGTTGATTGAATTTTTGAAATTCTGAATGGACGGTTCAAGATTGTGATCCGGGTGAGTTGTTTTCGTTCATTGTGGACCGTCAATTACATAGCAATCGACGGACATGTGTTAATTGTGTATTCTTAAGTGGATTGATAATGTGGATTTAGGGCTTGTTTGGATTGACTTTTGACTTATTTTTGTTATTTTGGATTTAAAATAAGTGTTTAAAACATTTTTAAATTTTACTCAAACACTTCAAAACTACTTTAAAACACTTAAAATAAGTCAATTCAAACGCGCACTTATTTTTCGTTCAATTGCTTATATATCACGTATCTTCTTAAATTTATGGTCTAAAATAAGTATTCAAGTAATTATGTGGCTAAAAAACATTTTTAAGGTTGAAACAATAAAATATCTTCACATTAAATTGTTTTTAAAATTAGAGAAATGTGATATATATGACTTATGAGCAATCAATCAACAATCCAATTTGGTAAGTGTAACGGAAACTGAACTTGTTGTATAAGAATCTAATCCCAGATGACCTCTTGGTTAAAGGCAATACGTCTAATTGATTCCACTAGTCGATTCAACACATATTACAAACGTATAACAAAGGCACATACATCATCCAAAGCAACTTCTAATGGAATGATGAAATATAACATCAGTCATTTTACTTGTGTATTGAGCCTTCGTGATAGAAGAGTGCTACATTGCTGACATTCTCGAAAAGGCAGAACTTGTGCCTCCTACACTTTGTTTTGCAGGGAAGGGACTGTTCCAAGTTCAGCATTCTTCTAAAAACAACATTTTCATGACATTCAACATCACCTATGGCTATGAGTATGGCCTAATAAGACTCATTGGCATTTTCTAGATCTCAAACAGCAAGTCTGAACGTAATAGTAATACTAATACTACACTGCAGAAAACATTATGAAGCCACCGCAGGGGACAACGTCAGTGTGATTCTTCTAGGCATAGCAAAGCATTTTGGAGACATTTCAATCCATTCTGCAAAACCCATCTACGTCGTTGCAATCTCTAGGTATACATGGAAATGCTTAAACTTGTGTATCTACACATCAGAAATGGATTTAACATCCAGAAAAACAGTCCCACACCAAACATCAGTGAAGTTTTTGATAACACACCAAAAACAACCATTTATACTAACAAATAGGTTCCCATATATATTTTCTAACAAGCTCTTCGACATGAAATGCAACAACATACCTAATATAATTCCACACATTAAGTTTTGAGAACACAAACCTTACACCTACCTTTGGAGGTAGAGTTTAGCTAATTGTAGCGAATAGCAAAACGCAAACAAATTCAAACACTTACAGAACAAATGAAAGATGAAGCATTTCATATTGGTGATATCTGAAACACCAATGGACCAAAATGTAAAACAGAATTTTTTTTTATCCAAATATCAATGAGATCTATTTCATTTAACACAAATTCATCAACTACAATGATCTCACAATCTTCATCTACATAAAACTATAACCAGAACACCAGCTAGATTCCATTTCCCAGCAACAACAATGAAAAAAAAAAGGCAAAAATATAGTAAATTAACCACCAAACCCGTAAAGAGTTCTTCCTTGTCTCTTCAAAGCATAAACAACATCCATAGCAGTAACAGTCTTTCTCCTAGCATGTTCAGTGTAAGTCACAGAATCACGAATCACATTCTCCAAAAAGATCTTCAAAACACCTCTTGTTTCTTCATAGATCAATCCACTGATTCTCTTCACTCCACCTCTTCTCGCCAACCTCCTTATCGCCGGCTTCGTGATTCCCTGAATGTTATCACGGAGAACTTTCCGATGACGTTTTGCTCCTCCCTTTCCCAAACCCTTGCCTCCCTTTCCACGGCCAGACATTTTTCAGAGATCAAATTGAACTTAGAAGAGACTGAATTGATTTGTGATGTAAATCAATGGGGTTAGGGTTAGGGTTTTATAGAGATTTTGATTTTCGAATTTGGGGATTTTTTTTGGTTTTGGCGGTAGAATTTGAATTTTGTTTATCGATTTTTGGAGCGAAATTTTTGTTTTTAATATGAGCCGTTCGATGAAATGTGTATCTAACGGTGGATCGATATGTATAGATAGAAGCACGCGGATCAGTGACGTGGAGTACTTTTATTTATTTAGTGTAATTAATTACTTACTATAGATTAGTTCTCTTTGAAGCCAATTAATATTTAAATGTTTTCAATCTAACGATATTACAAGTCAACCCTAGTTGTAATGACAATGTTTATTTGAATATTTCCTGATTATTATGAGGTATAGATATTTGATGTTTGAATTTTACTTATCAGTTATAAATAAAAGTATGTAAAATATTCTAGTTTAATAATTTTGTGTATTTAGAATAAGGATTGTATTTGTTAGTCTGTTTAATAAAAATAAATAGAAAAGTATGAACATGAAAAGGAAAAAAAAGGCAAGCATAAGTAGTTGTTACTCACGAAGATATGACTATAACTAATAGACATCATTTTCATTCTAAAAAAAACCAATAGACATCATTTAAATATATGTAAAACATCTTTTGGATATTCGTATTTGAATTTTACTATGTGCATGACAATAACGATGATAATTATAAATATTCTAATATTCTGTTTATATACGTAATATGTTTCTTATAAAATATTATTACATAATATTTAGTAGGACTATTATATAGGGCCATATGGATAATTTTACAAATAACGTAACGTTAAAATGAATATTAATGTTATTATAGAGAAGAAAAATATAATAAGAAAATTTGTTTCTGGATAAAATCATGTTGTTATAATGAAATATTGTTATAACGAAGTTTGATTGTAAGAAAAAATTAGCACTTAAATAATTTGCACAAAGTATTATAGCAGTTAAGGCATGGTGTAATGGCCAGTTGATGGTTTGGTGAAAGTAAAGTGGTAAAAATAAACGTGAGAGGTAGATCGTTTGATCATGTAGTAGTTTTATATTGAGTTGTGTGAGATTCAGGAATAAATATGATTGTAATGTTTCTGGAAAAAAATCTTAAGTTTAATAATGCACTAACGAATTAATAAATCATCGTTTTACCTGTAAAAAATAACAACAATTGAGAAAAAATCATATTAACATATAACACACAGAGTATTATATTGATTTGAGAGTGATTTAATTTGAAATTGTATCAATAAATTAAGATTGAAATCAAAAGATGATAATATAATGCTAGTATATTCATTTGAATTATGATTCAACAATTGTAACATTCTTGTTCAAATATTTTATCATTAAATTATTGATGAACATAAGTCTACATATGTTGATTAAATTGTAGCTTATTTAATAGGTAATGAGTTCATGACATCTCTATTTCATTTGAAAAGTGAATAACTGAAGATTAATAAGGATTTTACTTGAAGTGTTGAATTGATATTTGATTCACTAAAGGCTCTCAAATTCCACTTTGACATCAAATTAAATTTAGCTAGTTTAGAATTATTTTTTAAAAAAAAGATTTACGTGACGATAGAACAAAGACAATGTATATAATATGTTTGTTCTATCTTTATTTTCGATTTAATTAATAAGAACAGTTAATTGGAATCACTTGTTACAATCGTATTGTATGAGAATAAGTCATTAGAATCAATTGCTAAAACGATGGAGTAATAATGATCTCCATTTAATGTTTTTGAGAGTGAAAACTAGAGAGAATCAAATTATAAAAAATAAATAATAAAAGATCAAAATTGATCTTTTAAAAAATACATAACAAATGAAGACTATCTTATGTCATGGGCATTACCTATATAAAAAACATTAAAGCGTTGGATACATGACATTATCATAATCTAAATACTTATTATAAAAAATATATATACTAAATATTTATCGATAGTAAATAAAGGCAAATCAAATTCATTTATATAATCACAAAAGTAAATTTGACCAGAATTACTATCAAGAGATAAATGTGTACCATCGCGAATTTGCGATAATATAATGGCTTAAAAAATAATAAAATTTAAACAAAAATAATTATTAAAGATACATATAATCGACTCACTAGTTACCATTAATGAATTGTTGTTATTTTGTATCAAGTAACTTTCCACATAATTTTAAATAATATTTTTTCTTTTACTCAATCATTTTGCTTTCTGTCTTTTATTATTACTATATCTTTAAGTGTTTTTTTATTCTTCTATTTCTATAAAAAAAAATCGTTATTTTCTTTCCAATTATCCTTTGCTTATTTTCTTTTGAATTAAGTTATGAATTATATTTATTATGTTATTGTTTTCTACAAACTCTTCTTTTCAATAAGTTAAAAAAAAACATATCAACAAATAGTCTATATAAAACAAATACTTCATCAATTCCATTTCTTAACTCAAAATTTAAATAAATACTACACTTTAGATACATTTGACTTAGGGCGGTTCAAAATTGAACTGAAATCGATAATTCGAATCAAAAGAAAGTTATTGGTTCATCGGTAATGGGTTATTGATTTAACGGTTTTGATTTTTTTTATTATCGATTTGAAGTTTTTCTTAACGGATTAACCGATAACTCGATAATAAATTAATGAATTATATTTATAGCATTCGGCATATAAAGTCCTTGACTTAGAATTTAGTTTCATATTTTTATTTCTAATAGTCTCAAATTTTCTGTTATTCTACAATGTGTTAGTGTTGTTTTTTAGCAAGATACAATCTATCAACTCATGTACATGCGTTATTATAATGATCAATAATCTATAAGTCAATATCTTAATGGTTATTAATGATTTAACATGTCTACAAATCGATAAACTTTAAAATCAAACTGAACAAATCGATATGTGACTCTAATTTGACTTATTAATGAATAATCATATATAAAAGAGAACCCTAGGCCTGCCTACGTGGCACCACCACAAACAAAGATTCCTTTTTAAATTTATTTATTTCCAAAACTAGTCTTCCCCTTTCATGAAACGTTGTGACTTTTATGAAAAGTTGTGACTTTTATGAAGGGTTGCGACTTTAAGGAAAAGTTGTGATTCTTATGAAGAGTTACGATTTTTATGAAAAATTGTGACTTTTATGAAAGGTTGTTACCTTTCCGAAGGGTTGTAACTTTTTCAAAGAGTTGTGACTTTTCCGATAAAGCACAATAAACATTTGTTGCCACTACCCTTTGTTGTTTATAAATGGAGGGATTTCCTTTCATTTTAAAACAACGAAAATTCTGAACTTCTTCTTCTTCTGCACAAATAAATATTCGTGTACTTTGCTCATGTTGAGTGGCTTACTACACCATTGTATCTGTATCAATACACTGGTGAATAGAATCGTTCTATCCTGAAAGGATCTATTCCTTTAAACCTCGAGTACTAGAGAGGAATAATTTTCTTAAAGGGACACTGTGCATTTAGTGGGCTAAATTTTTCCTTTATGTTTCATTCTATGTATGTTTTTTTTTATAGTCATTAGTTTATGCTTATGCTATTAATATAGCACTTTAAGATTTCGGAGGAATGCTTTGCCTTAAGATAAAATGTTATTGCTAATATAGAATATTTATCGAAAATACGGATATTACTGAATAATCATATGTAAGCTTAATAAAAGAGTTCAATCCCGTGCGAAGCACGGGTAATTTACGTAGTATTAGTAAAATAGTGAATCTAATTACCAATAGTTAAAAAGTTAGTTTGACATAGTTTTTTTATAAAATATAAATAGTTAACCAGCTTATAAATTTTAACAAATTACAGAAATAATAGTAGTAATATTTATTACTCCATTTTTAAAAAATAAATAAAAAAATATAGGAGTGTGAAGTCCATCCCTAATCTTAAAGCTTTGGCTCGTCTTCTTCCTTTCCACTTTTCTGCAATTTTTTTTTTTGAGCTCACACCAAATTTCTTCATTATTTACAGCTTATTGAAGCCAAATTTAAGAACCCCAGAAGCACAAAATCCATTTTTTTTTCACACACAGTTAGTCAAATTCAAGAAAAAAAATGGCATGTAGAGTTCAACATTCAATTCAGAGCAGTTTTTGGTTCTTATCTTCAGCCCCTTTACGAAATTCGTTGAACCCAAGAAGGATTTTTTTCAAGAATCGAATTAGTTTTGGCAAAGAATTGTTTTTTTCATCTTCTTCAAGAACTGCCCTTTACTGCACTTGCAGCAGCAGTAGTAGTAGTGGAGGTGATAAAGATGGTTTTTTGGCAAATGGGGTTGGGGGTGATGATTCTTTTGTACTCACAACTCCACTTTATTATGTTAATGCTCCTCCTCATATGGGGAGTGCTTATACTACCATTGCTGCTGATGCCATTGCTCGTTTTCAGGTTATACCCCTTTTGAGATTTGTAATTGTTGGTTTCAAAGATTTGAGCTTTTTGTTTGAATTCTCGATTATCGTATTGTTTTGTTGTAGTTTCTGGTTAGAATGATTTGTCATGTTGTTTATGGACTGTTTTTTCCTTGAGCTGAGTGTCTATAGGAAACAACCTCTTTACCTCCAAGGTAGCGGTAAGGTTTGCGTACACTCTACTCTCCTTAGATTTGTGGTATTACACTGAGTATGTTGTTTTTTTTTTATGACAAGGGAAACCCGCAGCCGCTACCCTTTGGGTGCACACAGGGTAAAACCCCCGTTCCTATGCAATATCTCGCAAACCACATAGGAGAGGTAACCCGCACTAGGCAAGCCCGGTGCGATGAGCTCGACCCAGAAAGCAAACCCCTTGCTTTTGCTGGCAAGGGGTTTCGAACTTGAGACCTCCAACATGGAAGTCCCAAGCCCAAACCACTGGGCCACCCCGAAGGGTTACACTGAGTATGTTGTTGTTGTAATTTTATGGAGTCTATGTTGTATGCAGAGAGAAGTGCGTGATTTAAGAGAATGTTTAGTTTTACTAATCGTATAACTTGCATTAAAGACAG